AATCATCATTATCGGCTCATAAACGACGAAGTTATCCGCGAACGCACATAGAAAAAAATAAAAATATATACCTACGGTCGAATTGAGAAACCTCCTCCTTTTTTGACGTCGGTTAAAAAGTTGTCTATTAGTTACAGACTTAAAGAAATTGTCATTGTAATTGTATTGCATTCTACCTACATATATTCAAAATTGTATCTCAATTCTATCATTAATATTTTTATAATCATTTCGTTATAGACCACCGCAGAAATCTTTTACCAATGCGAAATCATGATTCATAAAGATCTACTACAATACTCGGTATTCGTAAATACAACTGGGAAGACTAAGTCCGAACAAAAAGGGCGACATTGAGCGGATAATAATGAATTATTTGACAAACTTATAATTACACTAGTCAATCAGAGTGACACACTGACTACAATGATTCACGGGTACGCTAAAACCTTGCGGTTATTTTGAAGAAGCCACATACACTTATATTAAAATTTAGGTTAAAGTATCTAAGACAAAGTTGTATGAAGTACCATCAACAAACCTAAATAAACGTGTTCTGATTGGTATTTTAATCAGATAGCACCCATTTATCAGTTATTGCATTTTAGACCCAGTCTAAATTGTGGTGCACTTTGGATATAGAAATATGACAGTGACAGAATTGTACTATGATGTATATTCTAAAAAATAAAATATGTACTATATGACATTATAATAATATTTTATTTTTTATTTTTATTTTTATTTCACACAAAATCCACAGCTCTTTGTTACATAGTACGTACATCTTATGATCTAAAATTATAGCTAAAAACGGATTTAAATTATTTAAGTAGTATTTTCAATTTTTAACGGCCATGTTGAAGACAAAGTAGTTGGGACTAAAAATACATATTTTTTTATTCATCTAGAAAACATCACAAGAAAATTATATATAATATTTTGAGGAAAAAAAGGATCAAAAAGATTGATTGATTGAATATACTTTATTGCACACAAGGAAATACAAGGAAGAAAATACCGGAAGGATAGTGTACATACAGGTATATATAAATACACATACATGTATATGCATATTAACAAATACTTATTAATAAGTGTGAAAGTAGCAAAAAAAAAAGAGGATACTTACGGAGTGTCTTTATCTTTCTTCTCCGTTAGGGAAACCTCATTACGAAACGGTGGTACATTTAAAAAATGACTATCGATAGTTGAACGACGAATTTGATTGTATATTTATATAGGGTGATTTTTTAGACAAAATAAATACTTTAACATAATGTTAATCAAGCATTCCATAATTGAAAAAAAATATAAATATTTTATTTTGACAAGAAATAACCAGAAAATATAAATTTAAATATTGTTTGTTTATCCCGTTAAGAGTGGTCACCCACCCCCCTACTGATAAGCAGTTTAGTAATTATGCGTTCAGCGAAAAGTATGAAAAGTATGCGTTGAGGCGGTATGGCAGGAATTTCTTAGTGTCCATAATGTTTGAAAAAATAAAAGCAATCTTTGAAAAAAAATGAGATCACAATTACGTACCAGATTCAGATTTAGAATCAAATTCTGCATATGATCTGGTAATATGTCCTTCGTCTATAAAAACACCTTCTATAATATAAATAGCGTTCCATCCCATCTTCTAATATTTTTTATGTTAAAATATAGCAAGTGACACATGGTGTTAAGTGATTACCGAGGACCATAAACAACATTTGACAGCTACGTTGCCAACCTTTAGTTAGACCCTTACCTAGACAGTGGACCCGTTACCTCACTCTCTAGATGAAACGAAAAAGTATATGTTTGTACATCTGCTTCACGTTGGTCTTCTGCTGTGGTACTTCCCTGAACGAGCCTGCCCATTTAATTATAGCGTTCTCAACGACGTCAAAGGCTGTCATATTTCTATTACCCGACATGGTTCAGCAAAATTTAGACAGGGTAATAATCTCTAAAATGCAATAACGGATAAACGTGTACTCGTACTGTCTGATTAAAATACTAACCAGAACAGGTTTATTGTGGTTTGTTGATGGTTCAATCATACAACTTTACCTTTGTCGTCTATGCTATAGTGATAGTATGATTATAACAAATTTCGGTAGAAAATATAAATTCGGTAAGTTGTTTAAAGTAAAAAAAGTAAATAATAATAAATAAATAATCCACAACCTTAGTTCAATTCTCGGTGCTAGCACCAATAAAATTTTTAATTTTAAGTGCTGACTTATCACGTGCTCAACGGTGAAGGAAACATATTGAGGAAACCTGCGTATTTTCGAAATAATAACAAAAAAGTATATTTCGAAGATTTATAAAGTCTGCCAATCCGGAGTGGGATCGCGTGGTGGACTATGATCGCCCGCTGTTCTGGTCCTTTGCCCAGCTATGGGACATGTATAGGTTGTTACATTCTTTTTTATAGAATTAAAAGCGAGCAAACGGACACTGGGCTATTGGATATATTTTGTGTAAGACGCTTATACATTCCTATAACGTCAGCTCAGTTGCTCCGAAAATTACCGACTACAAACGGTACAATCTCAGACTGCCCGTTTACCCACGAAAGTTATTTATAAAGCCGGAAATCTGTGTCGTCTCGTTTTGCCCTTAGCGGAAATAGAACGAAATGCGTAAGGCGGGTCACCCGACTGGCTCTGAGTGGAGGTGGCGTAGAATTATTTTGATGGCGGTCGTGAAATGGAAACGTGCCTTGGCGAAATACGTCACCAAAAATAAACGGTGTCACCACTGACTGTTTTGACGCTATGTCATAGATATTATAGATTTAGCTTTATATAATGCTAAACCGGTTTTAACCACGACAATACCCTTCATATGGTACATATATCTAATCTGGCCCAAAGCCTGTGTATTACATCCTTTCCGTTCCTCGGCATGTTGCGAGAATGTCGCCGTTTATACAGTCACTCTTTGTATTTCGATTACTTATGTGATGTGTATTCAAATCGTCTGCAACACAATGTTTTGATCGAAAAATAAATTGAAATATTGGTTCATTTGTTTCATTAACCATTCTCGTTAGTACAGTCAAAATAGCGTTTGCGCTTAGCAACTGCTGTTGCACCAATGGGAAGGTTCTTCCGGGGAAGTACGACTGCTCAGAAGAATGGCGGGAAGTGCAAGTATTATACCTTGGCGTTTCGTCTGATGAGTGAGCTAGCTTGTGCCCAGTACTGACAAAAATATTGATATTTATTGACTACTAGCTGCTGCTCCGACTACGTCTGCGTAGAATAGGCTGAAGGCGTAACATTCAGACAGAAAGACAGATGTACATATAAATATGTATATAAATTATAGTCTATGTGTTATTCTGATGTGTAAGTTATATTATTGTAAAGTTTCAAATTTATAAAATCCATTCAGTAGTATTTGCGTGAAAGAGTAACAAACATCATCCATACATACAAACTTTCGCCTTTATAATATTAGTAAGGGTAAAAGAATTGAATTGTATTGAAATTGAATGGATATGCCATTGGTGGCGGTAATCGCATCGTCAAAATCGTAAATGACTGAAACGTCATAAAAATGCGATCATTAAGAATGCTAAGTGACATTATAGATTACGATTTTGAAATTGGGAAGATGAAGTTTTGCACATTGGGAAGGGATTTATGGAGAGGGGCTGAAGAAGAGTATTACAAGGGGAAAGTGAGTAGGAGAGTCGATAGAAGACGCTCTAGAGTCGGAACTTTGGTTGACAGTATGAGTGTTTATGCTGTCCGATTTTGTAATTGTAATTATTTTAACAAAGGTTCGTAGGCTGTAGTGAAAAAGATATTCGTATTTTTGCTTACCCGCAAAATAAATATGACTGGCATGATGTATTTGCGGTGCTGCGACGACTAGGTCATCGACTCTTCAATAAGGTCGTGGCTTCGAATCCCAGTGGTCCATCAATGCATTTTAGTTCCTTACATTGTATCAATAATCATTGTCTAACATAAGGTCTAACTGTTATTAAGAACAAAGGAATACGAGCGCATAAAATGTCATCAACCATCTTTCTCTACTTTCGGAACAGTTTGTAAGTAAGTAATCTGTTCAAATATTTTCTGTATTCTGCGTATTATTATAGTAACTATAATTATTTAAGGCAATCTGCATTTAACGGTTGTCTCAAACATTAAAAAAAATAAAGAGGTAAAACTCGAAACAAAAAGCAATCCCGATGTTTTCTTTTATGTTTCACGCGTTATCTACAGTGTGTTGAAAGGATCCAGAATGTTGCCAAGCAAACATACTAATGAATTGGCAACGGTTTTTAATTTTTATCTCTCCTCCAATCCAGTGATTATAATCTGCCATTGCTAATTTGGCGTTCCCCGTTCACCATTTTTCTTTTATCGTGCATTTCACCAAACATAATTAATTTAAATAATTGTTCTTGACCATAACCTAATAACTGATGTTTCGATTGAATATCGATGATTGTACAGGGTAAGCGAGAAACCGAACTCAAGTGGCCCAGACGCACACATTAGTGGCCGCTCGCGTATTGTGAATAAACATCGTAATGTAGCAGATAAACTAGGATGGGAGCCAAGACGAAAATATGCCAACGCGCGTTTTTCCATTGGATTCTGCGCTTTGGGAACGGACACAAGTCCCCCCTGACGTTCATTGTTAGAGAACCGGACGGAATTCATGCAGGAAACGACATCTGTGAAGATGCAGATTAAACATAGAAGCGCCTCTTATGTCACTTCCACGAGTTTTGCTTTTTTTTGCTCGTTTTTTTTCGGCCGACGGAAATACCCGGCGTGTCTTCGAAAGAGGCGGCATTACACAATAATCACTTCAACTCTCCCATCGCTTTCAACGCGGGCGTACGTTATTTGCGTTTTGTTTCGGAACGCTTGGGATATCTACCTAATGGAGTGTTGTTCTGTTCGTGTTAAATCCCGCAAGGTCGCACGTGGCGGATGCCGCGACCTGCGTCAACGGTCACGGGTGCTCATTCAGGTGTCCACTTTGTTATCGAACTGTTTGGGCGCGCGGGTGTTGCCGAACATGTTCGGCTTTACGGTGGAGTGCTTAGCGTTTGTCGTGTCCGTGTGTCGCGCTGTCGTGTGTCGTGTCTGATGTTTACGCCGGCGCTCGGCGTCCGAGCGCGCGGTGTGTCGCCCGTTCGGCGGCCGAGGCCTGACGTTGCTCACCTCCTCGATCTTGAGGCTCTTGCGGACCACCTTGCGGGTGACCGCGCTCTCGTAAGTCTCCTCGATAGTCTCCGCCATTTTGTCGCGTCTCGCAGCGGGTGTCCGCGCGCGGCTGCTGCGGCGGTACTGGCGGCGCCCGGTTTATTTTTAGTAGCCGCCGCGGCGGGCCGCCCGATCGTTCGGAGAGCGGCCGGCCGGATGGTAATCCCAACCGTGTTACTAGCGCATTGGGACCAGATTCCCACGGGGTTCTGCGCGATGGTAAGCAGGCACTGCGGCGGTGGGCCCGCTGGAAATTGGTGAAGATTCGAGCATCGCTGCTGGAAGTTGTCACTGTCCTACCGTGTCATTGTTGAATAGGGTACACGCACGATAGCGCTGTGCACCACGATTGTTGCGGATCGAGCAGTGTGCACGCCTCCTAATGCGTTCAAGATTCAGTTTTATGACGTTCATCTTTATCGACGTGTCCGTAATAAAGATTTGTTTACGATTTAAATTCGAGCAAAACATCGCATCCTCAACGACGGGACGGAATGGCTTCTTGGTTTGGACTTCAGTTTGAGCTTAGAGAACGTCAAAAGGATTCGTCGTCATAAAGAAGATTTAGAATGGTCAAGGAGCTCGTCTTACCGTAAATGATCACCACCGGTGGGCATTCGAAACAGAAGGTTGTCTTTTATGATGGTCTTTATGTGAGAAGGTAGCAAGCAAGCTGGCAGTTCACCTGATGTTACCCTACGGGGGTTGCATACGCGTTGCCAACTTTTTGTTGGCAACGCGGGGTGGGGCAAAAAGTGGGCTCTAGCTACCTAACTCACCAGACGAGAAGCAGAAGCGCACTTCCACTTGACGCTGGTCTTCTGTGAGGTCGCGGTACTCACCAGGAACTGTACATTCGTGCAACAGCCGAAGTTATTGCGTGGGCCTGCAACACTTAGACCAGACCTTAAAAAAGTAAAATCAATTCTGCTTACGTCGCGGTCGATGATGATAATATGTCTCACCAATGGAGCCAAGCGTAGGTTCCCACTTTCAAACCTGATAATGGCTCTCAACAAGTAATTATTGGAATTGAAAAATGTTTAGTGCCATATTTATGGGAGCTGATGACAAAGCAAGCGAGCAGGTTGCAGATGTCGATTAAAACATCTGCAACCTGCAAAACCGATGGGATTGCAGGTGTTGCCGGCTCACAGAGGCCGAGAGACAGGTTAGCTCACTCACTAGGCGAGATACAAAAGTATAGAACACTCCTGTATGCTGATCTCCTGTGATAATGTACTACTTCCCCTGACGAGCTAATGGGCTCAAAAGCAAAACAAAAAGCTGACACGTGGCCCTTCGTCGCAGTCAAATTCAAATTCAAACATCCTTACACAATATAGAAACATTACACTTACTTAGTGATTGTCAAAATGCTACCACCGGTTCGGAAAAGAAAAGAACGGGCCAGATCTGAGAAGAAACGGTGAAAGAAACTCAGCGGGACATTTTTTTAACCGTTATTTGAAAAAAAAACGCAGTCTGGTTTTGGGTAGAATCAGTTTGTGTGTTCAGCAGTCAGAAGTTGCGTCGTTCAATAATTTCTAAAATCCACAAAATCCACTTGACTAAGATTTAAAATGGAAGCTTAGGACACCCATTTGACATTTTAGTTTAAATTTTCAATAATGATCAAAATAAAAAATGTGGCTTGTTGTCTCAAGCGACTTCATCATCGCAGACCAAAACAGAAAGTAAATTTAAACTCTACTGAGCTCGTATGACGAGTAGTATAAAATATAAAATAGTACTGCAAAAGTGTCCACAAAAATGTTTACAATGTTGTTTCAATAAATGATCAGATTAGCGCAAATAGTAATTGAAGAGAAATTCTTGAATAGTCAATAATTGATAAATAGAAGAAGAATAAGAAGAAACGGTTATTTTTAAATAGTATAGATGGAGTGAAGACCTTTACAAATGTGCGGGATGTCGATGGATGCAGGTGGCTCAGGATCGTGCTTTGTGGCAGTCTGTGGCCTATGTTCAGCAGCGGACACAAACAGGCTGAAATGATGAAGATGATGAAATAGTGTACTCTAGCAAGTTTTGGTGCTTTCTTTGAATTTAGTTATTTGAGTCTTAGTGTATTCTATTTTATAGATAGTTTACTTTGAGATAATACTCGTTACACTCAAGACTTCATAGCGCGTATAATTTCATATGTCAGAATGTCACTAATGATAATCTTTAACATGTATTAACAGCTGTTTGTCTGTCATATTTGTCACGTAACTTAATGTCTATGAATGGCGCACCTTGGCGCGCAAACGCATTGAATATAATTATGCGATCGTATGCAGATTATATATTCGTACGTACTTGTGGTATCGTACGGTAATTTTCAAACGGAATACTCCGTTTTACGTAATCTTTTGTACCTCGGACAAACGCAATTGCTGTTTACAGTCCACATTGCTGGACGTGCGTACGCTATTTACGTTCGATAACGGTGTCTGTTGGCTTGGCATCATCAACGCAAAACACATTTCCTCTCAATGGGTGAATATCGGACCAGATGCACGAACTGCGCTTCAGAGTTAAAACGTCATGGTACGGTTTAATATTTTTAATACTATTGTCGATGCAATAGCTTGTACTGATAATGAAAAACTATCTGTTCAATGTAGGGCTCAAAGAAAGATGGATTTAACAATTTGTGTGCTTAATATGTGCACATTTTAAATGCGCATGTTCGGAAATAGTTGATACCGATCGACTTAATCCCAGGTGTTATTAAAATCAACAAAATTAAAACAAATATTAGCTTATATAGTACCGTGAGTAAAATTACTTCTATTTATAAATGACATATAAATAAATAACAGCGAACACTGGCTTCAAAACGCCCCTTTATTAAGGGGTCGGCAATATTAATGCGCTGTAACGGTGCCTCCAATGCGAGGCACAGTTCTTTAAATCTGTCCGCAATTAATTCTGGCGACGGTAAAGCCAATCCCTTTTCGAATACTTTTTCGAATCAAGCAGGTGCAATAAAGATCCGAATACATCGATATATCCTTTACACTGCGCACTGTACGCTGACAATGACGGCCTGTATAACTCTGAAAGCGTTGGTTGATGAACTTTACGAGTACGACTGTAAACAAAAACGTCTCAAGTACTGTAAATCGGCGGTGATATTGGCCGACGCTCTGCGTTGATAATTGTTTTTTTTTTTAATGTTAACGCACACGTTGACGGCCGTCTGTTTTTTGTAAATCAAGTACTTAAGTAGTCAACTAACAAATTATAGCTAATGAAAATAAGATATAGAAATAAACGAAAACGAATTTAGCGAAACGAGAAAGGTAAGTCAATGTACGTTGGGTTTATAAAAAAAAAGTGTTTCTTTCATGTTCAGTGTTCCGTTTTATTGAGACTGGGTCTCAACCCACCTATCCTAAAACTTTAGTTGAAGAGATCATGTATTATTCCTATTAGCGTCATAATTTTCACATTAAAGTTCTGAATTTTCTCTTTTCACAATTGATGATGATAAAGGAATTCGTATTGCTTGTTAGAATATTTCACAAATATGCACTCGTCGAATTGCCGTACCTTTGCCAAAAATTTTGTGTAGCTATTTTCATTACAAGGTCATATACTATTTTTTGTATTAACCTTTACAGTGACAATGTAATTGAATTTAAAAATTAAATTAATGGCATATGCGACTTGTGGCGACATCTATTACTCACTGCGGAATATTGTATAATGTGTATCGATTTATTTTCAATACATATTTTCTGCTGAAATTTCATCATTAATAAAACATTTATTTTATATGTATGCTGTTTTCCTCCATTTATAAGTTCTATTTTAATACTTCACTTAACACAAAATAAGCTCTCGAATACTTTTTTTTAATTATATAGTTCCCATTAAATGTAATAAGTATATATTTATTACTTTATATATACATATAAACAAAATGTTGCCTTCAAAAAATACAGTTTAAGCCAATAGTTTTCCAATATCTACAATTACGAAAATTCATCATAATTCTTTTTGTATAAAATGTGGGTAGTTTTCAGTCAGTTTCAACCATAGATAAGAGACATATATACTGAAAGTTTCAACATTGAAAAATTACGGATATAGTTGAAAATTTACGGATTCTGTTGTGTATTGGGGGTTGCACGTTTTTCAGTGATAGATATTTGAGAATGTCTTCGTTTTAATTTTTCTCTTTTTACACCAGAGCGCATTTATAATCATCCGTGCTGATCTTTTTAAGGCTACATTTTTGTGCACCGTTTACGAGATAAAATTTTTTTTATCGTTAGATAAATGTTAATAGGATAATTATAAAACACCTTAAGGACATTAAAATATGTAGAAAAAGTGCGAAAAGATTGTCGCCGCTGTGGGAATCGAACCCACGTCTTCGGCATTCGCGGCCTGACGCTCTAGCCACTGAGCTAAACGGCTGATTACCACACCGACGAAAATCTTAACGCATTCTTCTACATTGTTTTCTTAGCATTTGAAGCAATGCTTGGCGCCATCTATTGTTATATCTTTTCCAGCATACAAACAACTTCGAATATCGTTTTACAACGATAATTCGAACGAGAGATGTCGCCATTGCTTTTTAGAAATTGTGTGTCGGTGATTACCACAGGTCGGTGTGGTAATCAGCCGTTTAGCTCAGTGGCTAGAGCGTCAGGCCGCGAATGCCGAAGACGTGGGTTCGATTCCCACAGCGGCGACAATCTTTTCGCACTTTTTCTACATATTTTAATGTTCAATCTTAAGTGCAAAGATTAGCACTATAAACAATTTAAATTTCCGGTTTTATATATTCCGCCCTATCAACATTGGTCAAATAGCTAAAAGCAGTTTTTTTTACGAGGGGACATATGGTCGGATTTATAGGTTACACACAACCCTCCTTTTTTGCCAAATAATTTGTAATCGGGTAAAATAAGATCACATTGTAATGAACAGGAAATCTAACTGTATTTGGTGCTCATCTTTGAACTGTTTTTCTCCAACGCTTCTTTACCTTCCGACTTCATCTGCCAGGCACCGTCGTTGGCATATTCGATTCGGCATTCCTCCATAAATATTTGACTAAGGGTACAGAACATAGGTACTCAACATATATTGTGTAAGTATGATGTATAAATTAAACAATTACCGACATTTTCTTTATCGATGTTATGGAACATTATGTAGTTGGAACATGCATGATTAAAAAAAATTAAAAATAAACATAGAATATTTCATACTTTATTATCAGATCACAAATACGCAATACTCATGGTATCTATAAATAAATCTCACAAATAAATAGAACATATCCTAAGCGCTAAGTGTAATTTTGAGAAACATTTACAGCTGATGTTTCATTTATACATAAATCACTGAAAAACTTTTTTAGATCATATTTATATATCACTGCACTAATACTCAGCGGAAATGTGCTTCGATCTTCACTTTTGCTTATTCAACGGGGCTGGAAAATAGAATAATTCCTTGAAGGTTTGTTCTCTGATAAATTTTATTAACTACTACCTACTACAAATTTTATTCGTTTTGTAACCATGTCGTGATGTACAAAAAAATTATACATGTATGAGGCTTGTACAAGCCTCATTCATACATATATATATATATATGCAATCCAGAAAAGTGTACTAGGGCTTAACTATCAGCAAATACTTAATATAGAATTAAAAAAAATAGTTTTAAAGTCCTAACTTAATAAATTAAAGTAGGTTCATGCTTATTAACATCTATGAGTGCAATCTTTACTAAGTAAAAATTAACAGAAGTGAATATTAACATAACATCATAGTTGTCATCAATAATTATGCATTGAAATTCAATTGTTGGATTACAATGTTTCCAATTCATGGGAATATCCAAGGCTGCCAATCCACACTGGAGCTGCGTTATGCCTTAAAGGGCCTGTATCCTCTATGTTACATAGCAGACAGACAGCCGTGATAGCTCAGTGTCGTGCGCTCGCTTCTAATGAAATATACTTGAGCAACCTGAGTTCAATCCCCGATGCACCAATAATTTTTTTTAATTTTAAATGCTGATTTATCACATGCTCAGCAGTCAATAAAAACATCGTGGGGAAACCTGCATATTTTCAAAATAATAACAAAAAAATAGTAATATATGTGAAGTCCGCCAATCCACAGTGGGGCAGCGCGGTGGACTATGCCCTAATAGCCTCTGTACAGAGTCTGTTGCCCAGCAGTGGGACACATAAGTGGCTGTAATTTTACACAGCAGATTGGTTTCTGTTGCCCAGCAGTGAGCTGTAATTTTACATAGCAGATTGGTTTGTGGTCATTACATGATGCGCATGGTGTTGGTGTAGCCGGAGCCCTGCCGCCAGCCGGTGACCACCACAACTTGGTCCCCGCGCTTCACGAAGCCGCGCTCGCGGCCGAACTGCAGTCCGTACTGCACGCGCAGGTCAACGTCCTTCAGCCAGTCGCCGGCGGGCGCCTCTGCGGGTTTCGAATGAATGAATGAGTGAGTGAATGAATGAACGTCATCATCATTTCGGCCTGTTTGAGTCCACTGAACATAGGCCTCCCCCACAGCAGGTACCAATAATTACACAACGGTTCAATCATTAAAGTATCAGTAGTAGGTAACATTTTTTTATGGGGCCTGGTTATCTCACTAACTAGACAAAACAGAAGTAAAACACTTCTACTTCCCGCTGGTGTTCTGTGAGGTCGTGGTGGTCTTCCGGACGAAAATGCCTATATGCAACAGCCAAAGCTGTTGCTTGACTCTACCATATTTAAATTTCTCTCATAATTACAGTGAAAGTGGTTGTGGTGCTTATGACCATGGTGGTCGTGAGCGTAGTATGTAGCGTGAATCTACCATGTTTAAGTTTTTCTCGTTTTCTGGTGAAAGTGGTTGTTCTTCTGTGAGGTTTTGGTAGTACCCAGACGGTACTGCCTATTCGTGTAACAGCCGTAGCTGTTTCGTGAATGTAGCACATTTAGCGGCCGTGGTACTTATGATCATGGTGGTCGTGAGCGTGGTGGGAGTGGTCGTGGCGGTGGTGGCGGCGCGCACCGTTGTAGACGATGGGAAGCACGCCGCGGTAGAGGTGCGCCTGGCGCGCGGTCTGCGGCTGGCGCGTGACGGCGATGACGGGGCAGCGCGGCCGGTACTTGCTGAGCAGGTGCGCCGAGCGGCCGCTGGTGGTGATCACCACTATGGCGGACGCGAGGCACTTGCTCGACGCCTCCACGGCCGCGATGGCCACAGAGTGCGCCGGCTCGATGGGCCCCTTCACCTGGTTGAAACGTAGAATTTTTTGCACTCAAGCAGCAAGATGAAACTTTGAGTTGTGAATTATTGTACATTAATGAGCATTAGCTTTCCGAGATTAACCTGAAGACGCAGGATCGGATCCTGGATGCGTCGAAAATTTTTGCGAAAGGCACTATAAAACTAAAAATTAAACATACATAAGTAATTTGCTTTCTTATACAAATAAATTAAAAAGAAAAGTAAACGGGAGACCATATTATATAGAGGACAATTAGCAATGGAATCGATATGTCCACGAATGTATACAACGGCTGGAGATAGTTACCTGAGCAACAAGGTCGGTGAACAGCTGCCTGTGCCAGATAGCCGCCTCCGCCTCCTTGCAGATGTTGGCCATGGTGAGCACGCACTCCAGCGGGTAGTCGCCCTTGGCGGTCTCGCCCGAGAGCATCACGCAGTCAGCCCCGTCCAGGATCGCGTTCGCCACGTCGGACGTTTCGGCGCGGGTGGGCCGCGGCTTCTTCACCATCGACTCCAGCATCTGCGTGGCGCAGATCACCGGCTTGCCCACCTGCGGGTAGCGTTGAATGATTTGTTCAGAAGGGGTTGGATAAGGCCGACCTGCAGGGAGTGATGAATGATTTGTGGTACTTAGACTTCTGTGGAAGGGGTTGGTAAGCCCAAACTGCGGGGAGGAGGGGGTAGCATAGAATGAATAAGTTGTGTGGATGGGATTTTTGTGTAGTAAGGCCAAACTGCACAGACTGATGAATGATTTGTTTAGAAGAGGTTGGGTAAGGCCAACCTCCGGGGAAGTCATAAATTATTTTGTTGGAGCCACGCAAACAGTCTTCAATGTTGCACGATTGGGCAGGACCACTGCGATTCATCTGGTGAGTAAAGTAGACGGGGCGCACTTTATTAAAGGCAACGCATCTGTAATTTTACCGATGTTGTAAATGTCAAGGGCCGTTGTTTTCACTTAGCTTCAAGTTATCAGTCAGCTCTTTGCCCCTCCTCAAATAAATAAATAATATACATTTCTATGTGCTTGGGTAGTTATCCCGAACTGCATGGAGTAATAAATGTGCGGAAAGGGTTGGGTAGTAGGTCCAGATGACCCCTGCAACCTAGATGTGTTGTAGTTTTCCCATCGGAAACATTGCCACATACTGTAGGATAACATTGTCTTGTATTTAAGCATGTATATACATAAACTTGAGGTAGACAAACACCCAGGGGGTGTATTTTGCATATATGTTCTGTATGGAATAGATTGGGTTGAAGTCCCGACCCCCACTGCGACCTAGAACGTCTATTATCGTCGTGAGTCACAGAGTTTATTCATCGTCAAATATCATATTGTGTTGTAGTTTTTACAATCATTTGTCACTATCTTACACAGGATATATGAATATTAAATAAAGAACAATTTAACTGTTAGTTGAATGAAATACATATTTATTTATCTTTTATTATATATTCTTACTTGGTTGCATCGAGCAATCATGGTCTTCTGTGCAAGGAACACTTTCTCTGGTGGTATCTCAATACCGAGGTCCCCTCTGGCAACCATAATGCCATCCGAAGCCTGTAATACATATTTAACGTGTTTAACAAAATACTGTGTTAATTTACAATATAACTGAGAAAAAAATTGCTGCAAATACATATTTTGAAGAAAAAATCTTTTAAGGTTATTTAGTATCACTTTAACACATACTATCAAATTGCCTGTTACAAGTCTACAACAGTCCAAAAGAGGCAAAGTCAAGAGAGAAATCTATATTCAGAATGTTTAATAAAAAAAAAACTAACATTTACTATAACTTATGAAAATAATAAGAATTGTCTCATATCTCTAATACCTTAACCATGTATTTCATTAAAAAATCGCATTTGACTCTAAATACTAAAATAAGTGCATATATGTACAATATGTCTCATTCAAAGAGAATTTAAAGAGGATGCAATTTTGCAATGAATGGATTATATCTCAAACTAGTTGATTGCCTATGTCCTTGCAAGCCAAATTGGTTAATGCCTCACCATTTTGCATCCAGCTTTTGCTGGTATTAGCTGGAATCAATTTAGTACATTCATCTTCATTCAGTAACAGTAATATAACCGCCATATTTATAGAGCAAAGGTCATTCTTCAGAATAATATAGATATAGGAATTTAGAACATTTGACTTTATTTATAGGTTAAGAATTTTCTTTTCATATTTTTAACTGCAAAATTGTCCGCCTGGGCAATACCTCAATAGGGCTTTATCACAAACTTGATAAGCTTGGTGCTATATTGCAGTCTCTACCCAGTTAGAATAAAAAAATATTCCTCATTATTTTTTTTAAATAATTTAACGAGCTGAAGGGGTGATGGCTGATTTTCTTATTCACACCATAAAAAAGCACTGACCGCTATGATTTCGTCCAGGTTCACCATGCCCTGGTGGTTCTCGATCTTGGAGATGATCTTGATGTTTTTGCCCTTCTCGCCAAGGATGCCGCGGATCTCTTGCAGGGCGTCGCCATTGCGGATGAACGATGCGAAGATCATGTCCACCTGCGACAATCAGATTGAATTAAACATCCTTGCTAATACTATAAATGCGAAAGTTTGTATGTATGAATGGATGTTTGTTACTCTTTCAAGCAAAAACTACAGAATACATTTTAATGAAACTACAATCATATAGCTTATACATCAGAATAAGACATCTGCGAGATATTCTGTGTAAAATAAGAAACTAATTGTTAATTCCCTTTGACCGCGAGGGCGAAGCCGCGGTTAACAGCTAGTATTTAAATATGTCACAACAGGAAATTATTCACACAAAGTTATCTAGCCCCAAACTAAGCAAAGCTTTTGCTATGGATAAGAGGTAACTGATAAACATACTTTAACATCCTTATTTTGGTAAATAAACACATATTATAGACATATGGGTGTATGTGACACTAGAAGAACGCAATGTTCATCACATTATATTTTTCCAGTAGCGGGGAACGAATCCACGCCCTGTGGCATAGGAGACTTGTTCATATCAACTAACACAATAAGGTCATCATTGTATTATTTCCGTAGTACAAATAACTCAAGCGAAATGATATATATCTATTGAATCTGGATTTTTCACCATTTTTAAATGATGAAGAAATAATGAGCTAAGTGTATGGTAAGGTTGATATGCGATAGCTATCTTCGACTACTTGTTTTAAAACTTAGGTACATTTATTTTGATGGTGCAATCTGAAATAAAACATGTTTTGACCGCTTAACCTATTGGTCAGAATATATAATACTGATGTGAAGGTTAACAGGTTCAAATCAAGTCAATACATTAAAAGATAAATGGTAGATTGAATTTTTTGTAAAAGCATAAATCTTATTTTCTCATGTCAAACATTTTAAGGATGCGTTCCGAAAATTCTTTTTCAATAAATAATTTATATGGCAAAACAACATTTGCCGAGTCAGCTAGTCTTTAATAAAAATTACCCAATTAATCATAACTCAGGTTTATCTACGAACAACATATCAAGACTATAATGGAAAATTTTCAATTATAAAATTGATACCGATCAATAAAAATATTTGCTCAATAACTGATTATGTTGGATTCGATTAATGTAAGAGGTCTTAAGCTTTGTAAATAAATACGTGGGGCGATTTATTTCTTCTGCGATTAGTTAGTCAGTCACGTCATTACGTCATTCGATGAATGATAATTCAGCACGTGGTTTTATTACGTATCGCCGTGTACCAAAATATAAGTAACTAGCTACCCGCGACTACGTCTGCGTAGAATAGGCTGAAGGCGTAACATTCAGACAGAAAGACAGATATACATCAAATATGTATATAAATTATAGCTTATGTCTTATTCTGATGTATAAGCTATTTCATTGTAAAGTTTCATTAAAATCCATTCAGTGGTATTTGCGCGAAAGAGTAACAAACATCCATTCATACATACAAACTTTCGCGTTTAAAATATTAGTAAGGATTTTCTCGAGGCTGAACTAGATTGTATGACTGAATGTATTATCTGTTGTTTTGGTGCACACAGTGGAGCATTTAAATAATGTTTTTATTAATGTTCCATTTCGATAACTAAAAAAAAATGTACCAACTTACATCTGGAGTAGGAACAAAAATTTACCAGTGTTCATGAAACATGTTCGTTCAACAAAAATGTTCGTCATGTGTCGGGATTGAACCCAAAAGGGGGTGAGTAATAGCCATGGGCACTGTCAATAAACCACAACATCGCGTTATCCGTGCAGTCAATGAACATTCAAAAATATCGATTGGAATGTCTTAGCGAACAGATACAAATACAGTCTATGTTTGTTTTGATTACATTTTTGCTGACTGTACGTTCTTATCGTTGCTACAAATTTGTTAGATCATAGGCTTGAGTTAAATACAAAAAAAATATTAGAAGACCGTGACGGCAAAGTTTCAATGTAATATTGATAACAAAATCAATAAAAAGATTGCTTAATAAGATTATACAGGTCCGGAGTAATCTATTAATGACGGTCTTAAGCCTTTTATAATTATAAATAAAAATAATGAGACGATTTATTTCGCCTGTGATAAGTTAATGAAAGTCACGTCATTACGTCATTCGACCAATTTATCATTCAGCACGTGGTTTTATAACTTATCGCCGTGTCCAGATATGTGGGAGCCAGATGAATTTCCCCGAGGCTAAGTGATTCCGTGGCCGAATATCTTATCTGTTGTTTCGGTGCCAATGATAAAGCAATTCCAAAGCAGGGCAGTGACCGTACTCTGGGGATACGTCACTACATTACAAGAGAAACCTCTCGGGCTATGAACTCGCGAAATACAACAAACAGGAAACTTTGCCGAACCAAAACGCGCTGGGATTAGGAACAATCGTTTACGGGAATAGAAAAATTACGGGAAGCAGTGACTACAACCATGGGGACATGCAGTCCATACAATCTATCAACAGTCCTTTCAAGAATTCAAAGTGAAAATTTCTTTATTCAATATAGACTTATTTTAAGCTCTTACTGATTGTCAGAGAAGAACCGGCAAGAAACACTTGTTCTTTTTTTTAATGATATAAGTATACAAAATTATTTAGGTAAAAAATCGGCAGCAGCTGGGTGACAAACAACGATGTGGAAACAACTCTAGCTGCAAATGCAGGACGCTGTTCGAATGGCTAATTGCCAGTTAAACGGTTGCTCATAGGTTTGTGATACTAACGCCCTGTTCCACGCCGAACAGCAGGTCTGACTTATCCTTCTCCGACACCGCTGGCAGATCCACTGGCAGACCAGGCAGGTTGACGCCTTTTCGCGAACCCAGCATACCTACAGATGACAGGCAGATGAACAGAAAAGTTTATAATAGCACCACAAAATTAAAGATAAAGCTTATATTTCTTTGCCAAGTTAGATATGTACCGCTGTAGACTCCAAACAAGTTTACATTACTTGGGTTTGCTTTTTATCTGAATTCATAGCATTGAATACTATTTCTCGCATCCAAATATTAGGAAAGGCCGTATGATAGTTAATGTCGGAAGTGAAAAATTTTGCATGCTTTGAATAAAAATAAATCACTGGCCCGCATTTTTAAATAATCTCAATTAATTAATGGGTTACTAATGTCTGTACATGTTATAGATAATTCAATCAATCATCACAAACAAAAGTTGAACCCAAGCATCCAGATTGTACCAAGTGGAAGTAGTACACTTTTGTGTTTCGTCTGGTAAATGCGTTAATGCGGACCCAAGTCTTTTAAAGGGCTGGCAGCGCATTTGCAGCCTCGCACATATTGTAAACATATACAGGGGGAGTTTGTCACTTGCACGTCAAAATGCTTGCTTATTGCCAACTTGGGGCATAAAAAAAGATTAAGACAGTTTGACTCATACCTCCATTTTCGATGGTGCAGACCAAGGTGTCAGCTGTCGAAGACTGGCAGATGACCGAGATAAGGCCGTCGTCGATGAAGATCCTGTTTCCTGGCTTCACGACGGCGGTGATGTTCTTGTAGTCAACAAAGACGGTGGTTGCGTTGCCTTTCTCTTGGTAAGATGGGTTGGTGGTGAGGTTGATGGTCTCTCCCTTCTTCAGTTCCACCTCAGCGGAGCCGCCCTGGAGGTGATACAGAACTGTTGTCATCTTTATAAAAGCTTTGCCTGTATTAAACTACAGTTATACATATATGTGTGATTAAGGTATCTTTGGTGTAATATCAAATGTATGTAGTAATGTCAAGTGTACCTTAGTCCTAGTACAACTGGGGATAGTATAACGAAACGCCGGAGGTATATTAATGAACACAAACTTTATGGCATAATTTTAATGGTGACCTGACTGGAAAATAATTTCTGTCATATTTATTGGAGGAAACCTACCAATTGCCAAAGAAATTTAGTCTTCAAAGGTTATTATTAATTCTCCATTTAACACTTAAATTCATGTATTGCCAACTAAGGGATCATTATCAAGCTGTCCAAGCTATGTATAAGTGAGGTAGTTTGGAACACCCCACTCTAGATGGAATGACAACATGTGTAAGTATGCTAGAAGTCTATGGAAGCTCAGGATCGTAATTCGTGGCGGTCTGTGGTGGTGGGGGGGGGGGGGGGGGGGGGGGGGTTCAACAGTGGACTTAAACAGGCTGTAATAATGAGAACTATGATGATGGTGATATCACTGGGAGATAATTACACCCTCGAGCAGCCCCGTCCTGATTTCGGGTCCCTTGGTGTCCAGAGCGATGGCCAGGGAGAAGGGCATGCCCAGCTTGGCGCTGTAGTTCTTCTCCGCCTCGCGGCAGTTCTTGATCGTCTCCGCGTGGTATTCGTGGGAGCCGTGAGAGAAGTTCATGCGGGCGACATTCATGCCCGTCTCCATCATCTTCTCCAGCATGCCCACGTCGCGTGAGGCCGGCCCTGTGTGACGTTACAACGGTCATATTCATCTCAGATTACAAGCGAGGATTACCGTAAAATGATTTGTATTGACTTGACCTGCGTATTATTATTTAGTCTTATTGAAAGTTTTTTTATCGCACTTCGCATTATGGACTATAAATTGGACTTGGAATATAATTGGACTTGCATGATTGACACATTTGATAACGGTCGTAAAATTACTCATGCCATTTCAAAAATGAGCCACTTTGATAAAGCCGCTCTTAAAAGCTAATATGACATAGACATATCTTTCTTATCCTTTAAACGAGCAATTCTTGTATATATATATATATATATATATATATATATATATATATAAATCGGAATCTCGGAAACGGCTCAAGCGATTTTCATGAAATTTAGTATGTGCATAGATTCGGGGGCGAAAAATCGATCTAGATAGGTTTCATTTGTAGAAAATGTCCTTTTATCCCTGTTTTCAGGGAATGAAAAATATAACTCGAATATGACGGTCGGTAATCGGGCGGCCCCAAAACAGACGGCCGTGGTTCGCGTCACGATCATTTACACATTTATTTTTTTACTTTTTTTTGATTCCAGATCATTGCTTTCTTTACTTTTAATTTTTTGTCGATTTGTTATTTGATTATTTTTTTCCCTTTTTTATAAAGTTCTTTCTTTTGTGAAAAACATCAGTTCATATTTTCTTATTATTACGTAGGTAAGATCGAAAAATATTATGCATATTTCATTACTCAGTAATTTGTATCTTTTCCAAAATACACGATTTACCAAAAAAAAAAAACAAACCGAGCAAAGCTCGGTCCGCCGGGTACTATGATTTGTCATCACATTTCCCGAAATGATTTTTGTCGATGATATTATCAATAAAAAAAACATTTCAAAGAATGTGATGACGATTACTGCCACAAAGTCCGTATCAATCCTTATCATTTGTATGTTTGACGCATTTGAGTACATCTAGACAACCATTTTATCATCAAGTACTTTTCTAAGTTTCCTATTTTTTTCTTATTCATTATCTGAATAAGTGATGTAAACAGCAAGTTGTTGGACCCTTAGAGTGAAATTGTTACACATGACTTTTACACCAAGTCCCTTTATGGCACAATATATGTGAGACGAGTGATTCTCGGTAAGAAAAAAACTCAAAATATAGATTGAGTTTTTTCAACCGTAACATCGTTATTTTTATCTGTAACGTTGTATAAAATCAATAAAATCAACATATGCACTCAGAAAATAAAATACATTTAGCTGACATAGCCGTGATAGCTCGTTGTCCAGGCGCCTTTAATTCATATACTCGGGCAACCCGAGTTCAAATCCCGGTGCAGTCACAAACGAAATTGCTAATTGCAATATTAAGTGCTGACTTATCACGTGCTCGGCACGTCAAATATCCTTAAAGCACCGGCATATTTTCGAAATAATACAAAAGGAAATATTTTTAAAATACGTTAAGAGTATCTGTGGTGGGTCCGCGTGGTACAACTACGCCCTAACATCCTCTGCACTGATACCTTTGTCCAGGCGTGTAGGCTGTTTTTTTATATGGGAAAGTGGCAAACGAGCTGGCGGATGTTAATCACCACCCAATGGTTGCAAATGCGTTGCCACTTTTTAATAAAGTGGGCCCCGGCCACCTCACTCACCTTACGGAAAGTAGAAGTGTAACACTTTTACTTTACGTCGGTCTTCTGTGAGGTCACTTACTTTCAGGTACTTACCCGAACGGACCTGCCCATTCGTGCAACAGTAAACAAGCGTGGCCCTAACAATACCGACTGTTTGTTACTTTAGTTTTGTTCATTTGCGAAAGTTTTAATAACATAGTAAGACTTCACCCGGCGCATAAATGTGGCGAGTGCGGCGTTTCTCAGTGCGACCACTTACCGATGGTGCATATGATGCCCGACAGACGGACATAGGACGCCCTCGAGTCGATGTCCAAGCTGCACATGTGCTGCAGCTGCGAGCCGACGTCAGCCGCCGCTAGCTGCATGGCGGGCCTGTCCGCGGAGCCGCTCTGAAAGGGGTTACTCAATGTCGAGAATTTCAATCGGAAGATAATTTATTTATTTTTTTGAGAAATCGGCAGCGCCGTTTGGAATAGAGAATTTTTTATAATATAACCGCGATTTTTTTTTTAAGAAAACGGCAGTGCCTATTTGGCAATGGAGATTTTTTTATTTTCAATTTCCGTCGTTCGAATGAGTGGAATATGACTTTCGTAACACTTTTTTTTGGATTTTCGATCCACTGATGTTAGTAGTGAGACTGAAGGTTAAATGAAGTCAAGTTACAAGGCAGTCTACCATAATGTGGTAGGCAGATTAACTTTTTTATCTTAAACGGTCGACGCGCCGAAATCTAATCTCTTCGATACTTTATCTTTAACGGTTAATTCATCAAACGTTATCGATGAAATGGCAAATAGCTCGTAACTTTCGACTGCCCGATTTTCCCGAGTCGAAGCGCAATAAATCTTTTGTACTTTTTTTTAGTAATAAATGATCATTTAATCTAATTGTAAAATCGAACACATAATTTTATAATTAATGGACTGACGATGCTGAGCAGTTTAAAAATCGTTAACTTTTTTATTCTATTGCAAAAAAACTATCAAAATTCCAGATTTCAGATTACAAAAGTTATTTTATAGAACAGTAATTTTTATCACCAGAATTCAGAACAACAAGCCCCCATTTACACAATACAAACTTTGTACAGACAGGAATAAATAACATTTTGACTAATTTTTATATTACAGATCATAATAGTTGAACCCAGTACAGGGTTGGGTTCATTATAAACAGAATTTCAGAAATTTTCAATCCTCGACCATACGTGCGTCAAAGTACGCACATGATTACATAGCGTTCTTCTATTAATCAATATTTTCCGTTGACGTTCATTGGCGTTAGCAACTGCGGATCAATAAACAGCCAAAGTAACATATAGACTGCCCTATCTAAACTAACTCATAGCATTCTTAAATTTCTACTTCGCTGCATCTCACATGACCAAAGGCTATCTCAATGCCGAAGTAATTATTACTTCCATCTGCAAATATACAATGTAGCCGTTAAATCACGCGCCGCGACAAACAGTTCTTTTTACAAAATATTGGCTCATGTGACAAGTTTCAATCTATACAAAAGACTTCTCAATTGTCAAATGATCTGGAATACTCAGTACTGACATCATATTATTATAATTGTTTTAGCAGTTATAAATAACTTATAAAGTTCCAACTAAGCTTATTGTAATTAATGAACTTTGAATAACCCCAGATCCCTTTATGGTTTAATCATCGAAAGAACCCCAAAATCCTCAAAAATGCCAATAATTTTTTATTAAGTGAAATAATAACATTCTAAAAGCTGAAAAGAACTGTAATATGACAACTGATTGTATAAAAGCAACAGAGTTTAAAAGACTTAACTATGATTCAATAAGATTTTAATTTTTTGTAACATTAAAAGCCTTTTCAGGAAGGACATCATAATAAATATTCACAATATTTTACAGGTTTATTGTTTCTTACTAAAAAGCTCAACAATATTTAAGGTTATCAGAAATTATCACAACTTTTATAGTGTTTTATGAATGCAACATTACAGTTAATCAGTTATTATAAAATACACATGAACATTTTATTTACCTACATACTATTTTGGGAGCCGGCAGGAGGGAATAATTAAGATGCAGTACAAAGAACAAGCCATGTTGAGAAAAAAAATCTTTTATTGTCACTCGTTGCTATAGAAATTTGTCAATAATAGGGTAATGCTAGACCGATGAGAGTAAGGGTGTAAAAGATAAGAGCGGTGCTACACAGTAGCAAATGAGTCGCCACATCACCCCCCTACCAGTTTGGGAGCCGGCAGGAGGGAATAATTAAGATGCAGTACAAAGAACAAGCCGTGTTGAGAAAAACATAATCTTTTATTGTCACTCGTTGCTATAGAAATTTGTCAATAATAGGGTAATGCTAGACCGATGAGAGTAAGGGTGTAAAAAATAGGAGCGGTGCTACATAGTAGCAAATGAGTCGCCACACTATTTTTAAAATAAATAAAAAACATTTAAAAGCCATTGAATATAGTACATATGTCACCTACTCTTATGTTATTTGGTAAAGAATTAATAATTTAAATAAGCATGGGTGCCAGATCTAAATATGACTTATAATAAAAAAAAAATTGCAGACTACGGTAGATAAATAATTTTACTATAGAATTTGCTGAGTATTAATTGCTGTATACTTAAAAAGATTTCCATTAATTATTTTAGAATGAATTGTGGTTTAAAAAATGTAATTTACCAAAGACTGTTACTAGACTATCTATTGAAATGCAAGATTTCAATCCTTTTTAATTAAATAGTGCGCATGTCTTTTTTAATGAATTTAGTTTTCAATGAACTTACAAAATGTTATGATCATTGCACTTAAATTTTCATTTAAATAATAAATGTTGAATAATAGAACATTATACATAATACTATAAATTACAAATTAGTCAAACATAATATAATTTAATTTGTAATTTAAATTTTTATTTTTATTTGAATACTTGAAATAATAAATGAAATGATTGCACTATTCACTAGAACTAAAAAGAGTAAAAAGCCTATAAATTTTTTACCATGACTTTTTTGATTATCACTGATGTATTGCGGACAGCATACCGACATAATGATAAACTCATTTTATATACATCTAAATTCTAACGTCACCATAAAGAAAAACCGTAACACTATTTCGTATATAATTACTAAAAATTTCAAGCCCAACCCCGTGAAATATCGTCAAGGTAACAAAAATACGTGTCTTACGTGTGCGCAAACGTAACGAATTTTCCGTCGCTTTTCATTGTCGATTCTCATAATATTCGCATATCTGTTATGACAGAAATCGTTACCTCAGTTTTGCCGTCGTATACCGTGGACCAGACCATGTTCACAGAGGAATAATGTAACAATTTTTTCCGAAAGCACGTCAAGTGGGATAACGTTTGTGATCTTGAACTGTCCTTCGTTGAAAATTTCTCGCCGCTACACCAGAAGACTACGGACTTGCGTATTACACCGCGAAACGCGAGGCGCGGCGCGCGCAACAACAATAGGGACGTCGCGACAAGGGGTGAGTTCAAGTTGTGAGAAATCACAATCCAGATTTAAAAGTCCCCTTTGAACGCTTGCTGTATGACAAGACGCGATACTTTTCATAAATCGCTAATCCCCCTTTCGTTAACATAACCGAAGTTACGGGCTGTGTAGAGATAGAGCAATTCTAAATTTAAACATTTGAAAATTTGCCAATTATTACAGCTTGCCAATAGGAATAAATAAATATGTATAATGTTTGATTAACGTAACATGAAAACTCTTAATTTTTTTTAAAATTAAAACACTGTTGTTCATTTCAAAGAATAATATTTCTGCTTATTTACCACCGTTACATATCACTCACCGTTTACACGTTATTACCTACTTCAGAATTATTTTATTACTAGTTTTTTTGTCATTTATATCTGTTATTTATAATAAGTACTGTTGAGCCCGTGCTCCGCGTATAAACCATGGAATTTAAAACTAGCAAATAAAAAAAATGTCTCATAAATAATTAAACATCAATATCTCAGACCAGTAAAAAACTTTTTTATTGGTCTGAGATATTGATGAAGAATTTATTTCATTAACCCATTATGAAATTATTTAATGACATTTTGAAATACATAAGACATCGCCGTTACCGGAAATCGCTTCATAGTTATTTATAATGTTTACAATTAGTTTTATAGGGATTGTACAAGTTTAAATACTATTGAATTAAAATAATAATTAGTTAGTTATAATATTTATTATTCATTCGGATTCATCTTTCAACTAAAATATAATATTTGAAGAAAATACACACGTGTACGAAATTTGCAAAGTCGCCACAGAAAACCGTTACTTAAGACGATGGTTATACTAGCAGAATTTTATATAAGGTTATAGTAACTAATTATATAACGTACCTATGTTTCTATACGATTTTACAATAGGTAGGCGCTAGATATTCAAAATGCAGAACAACATTAGGATATCAAAAATCAAAATACCTAGATGTTTACAAGAAAATTTTCATCAAAAGATGAAAGATATCAAAATAACCCATAATTTGATGTAATGGACGTAAACCTTTGAAACACCGGTTAGTAAACCACTTTAACAAACAGTTAACAAAGTTAGTAAACCGCACAAAAGTAACTTTTTTATAAAAATAAGAACATAAAGCTGTTGATTACTTACAAATGCCATTTTAAGGTTAAATTCAATGGAGAAAAAAAAATAAAAGGAATTATTTGGAAACGCAAGTTATTATAAACTTTTCTTTAGTTACACTAAATAAAACCAAGATTTTATTTAGTTTGACAGCAACTTTGCAGGACTCCCTAGAGGTCACCGCAATGTCACAAACAGGTGGATTGTGGAAATTTTTACGCTAGTCACATTACATTCATCAGTGTTGCAGATAATTACAATATACAGGTTATAGAACCATAAAATGTTTTATGAAATATTTTTGCCAAACTAAAATTGTATTATTTGTTAGGAAAGTTATGCTAGTATGTTTGTGGTAATATTGTTAAGAAATAAATAAACGATAAGGAGCATGATGGTACAATTTATATTTTTAAAATATTAATAATATGGTTCTCAATTTTTATATTAAAACAATATTCTCATATTTCTATTTTCATTTATATTTCAACTTCACTAAAAATAAATGAGTTTGAATTTAGCAGAGACTTTCAACTTTGACATGAAATCAAATAAATTAACAATACGATATAAATATACCTGTAAACGTTTGTTTCTTGTTTCTACTGCCTTCATGTCGGTTTGATTTTTAATATTTATTTAACAAGCAACCTACACAAAGCACTGTAAAACGTCTTCTGGCTAACTCGTCCTATTTGACTTATCTTTATCACTCCGGAGATAAATTGTACCCGTTACAATTTCTTTAATTTGTCAATAAAGTCAACTTTACCCCTTCCCGTATCCTTATCAAACTATTATTATTGATGTACTTTACTGTGATACCTTTACTTATATGTCTATGTATTTATATTCGAATCTTGATACAATTGTGTATCTTAAATGCATTGTTATAAAATAATAATATTAATTAGTTATTGTTATTTTGTATATTAAGTTGTTGTAAATTGTTACCAAGTATCTTCATTTATTGTGGCTATGGTAACGACACGCTGTATACATAAATAATATAATATACCTTTCCCAATTCAGACTTCACCTATACCTAAACTGACCACTTTTTTTCTACTCAAAATGGGACAAAATGAAAGTAAACATAAATTTTTAATTTTCTTTATTCCGAAAATATTTAAAAATTAAAAGATACAAAGAAAAAATCTTCAGTTCACTATTTTTTATTAAAACAACATTGGTATATTTTCAAATATTTTAATATTTCTCAGAGGAACAAATTTGTTTTAATAAAGGTTTTTTTTATGTGATAAGTTGCCAAGCGAGCAGACGGTTCACCTGATGTTAAGTGAATACCGCCGCCAATGGACATCTGCTACACCGTTTATGGTTGCAGATGCGTTGACAACCTTTTGAAAAATAAGCTCCGGCTACCTCACTCACCAGACGAAACGCAAAGTATTATACTTCCACTTTACCTGGCGAAAGGCGTCTTCTGTGAGGTCGTGGTACTTACCCGGACGAGCCTGTCCATTCGTGCAACTGTCGAGGCTGTTGCGTGGCCCTACCACCGTTGGAATGATGAGGTTAAAATCGTTTAAATAAAAATAAAATTTGGCACGTTTCTTTTACGTTGACCTTTGTTATTAGCATCGCCTTCATAACAAATAACCTACAAAACTATTTATCGAACATTACACAAAAACAAAGAAGTCAGAAGGCATGCGCGTGGCTAGCCTATTGAATTGAAAGAAACAAATGCCCCCATCCTTCTCCTTCTCACCGCGTTACTAGGTAACCGAGAGCGTGTGCATGCGGGGAATAACCCGGAATTACCGACCACGGTTCCGTGCTGCTCACGATCATGTCTGACGCGCGTGGTTTTAAAATTTCGCTCGGTTTCGGAAAACGGGACAATTTTGTGTCCCGAAGATTTGTTCGGGGACAAGGGGACAGCTGTCCGAGAAAAGGGACAGTCCCGTTCAAAACGGGACCTATGGTAAGTTTACCTATGCCAAGGAGGTAATTATGACTAGGCTATCTATTTGCTCCCTGAACGACGTCATAGAGCTCTTGTTTCCATCATGTTCCTACAGTATAAGAGATAGGAGCCCTGTTTCATTTTTCGTCATGCCAAGAGATTCGACAGCTTGACTTCAAATTCGTTAATAATGCTTCTTGCGTTAGACACTTTGGCGGCGTGGTATCTAAGGGGTACTTCGCCCAGGATCTATGCAGTAGCAGAAGTACCTAGATGAACTTAGGTTAGTAGCGTAGGTTAAAGGCTCGATTTGTTTCTCGCTCAAAAGTTAAGCATAATTATTTAGAGAGGAACTCTTGAACAGTTTTCAACTGACACCTTCGCAAGAAATTTAAAACATTTTGGCGATTTATTCTATACCGTATCTTGCTTCACGTAGTGTATAAAAATAAAGCAGTATTTAAGATTTGTTTAAGCGTGATTAGCTTTCGTTTTGCCGATTTGAAACAAAGTCTAGAACCTTGTTTCAAAGCGGCAAAACGAAAGCTAAAACTTACATTTTAACCTGCGCATGAGAATGTCGAAGTGCGACTAACACGCAATAAGTCTGGAAAACAAAATAGTTTTAATAAAACCGCGCGTTTCTTCCAAATCGAACAATTTGTTAAGGCTTGATGACATTTTATATTTTTGTGTGGAGTAGAATTTCATGCTCTTGTGAACATATGCAATATTTTGACAAATAACACGCAGAAATTCTTCAATGCATTGTGTGTGCTGCAGTATAGTAACGCGTTAAGAGTGCTTTAAGGCTTTCCTAAACATTTCATGCTTCGACTATGTATATTTTAGTGTAATATGTGGGCCAACTAGGGTACAGCTCAATACGGTCCTCCATATATAAATGGTGTTCCCCTACCGGAAACGGGTCCTCAGGGATCGCGGGCGACTGGGCCCCTATAGGTCAGCAAAGCGAACCTAAGGGCGACAGTGGCTTGAAATAGGTTCAAGCTATCGTGGTTGCACCAAATTGCAAAACACGTGGGGTGATTATGTTCTGGGACGAGGTGATTCGAGCCAAGGGGGGCCGCGGTAGTGTTCCAAATGGAGATCGCGTGACCCCCCATTAAAGCTAGTAATATTGGCACAGACAGTCGCTGTTGCACAAATGGGCAGGTCCGTCCAGGGAAGTACCACAACCTCACAGAAGACCGGTGCGAAGTAGAAGTCTTACACTTCAGCTTTTCGTCCGGTGAGTTAACTAGAGCCCACTATTAAATCATGTCCATATGGGTGTTGCAAATGTCTATGGGTGACAGTTTTCACTTAACATCAGTGACATTGCTTGACACTGTCACATTAAAAAAAAAAAAGATGTTTCATACCGCATGAAATGGCTCTGGAAATATTTTACAAGTTTTAGCATATGGGGTAGTCCAATAGAAACTTTTGCATCTTTAATTTGTAATGCTGTTAAAATAGTTAAAATATATTGCTAAATTTAATTGTAGTAAAAAGTTAGTTTTTATTATTAAACTATAGTAATTGTGCATGTATGATCTGAAATAAAATTATTATTATTAATTGCGGCATTATGTTTTCGTAGGTAAGAATTTGGGAAAAGGAAGGTGGCTAACAATGTTTTTTATTCCATGAAACTCTCATTTAAATTTAACAAAGGAAACTTAACACTGATTATTGAAATTATTTTTTAATTTCCAAATCCAATTTACATTCAAAATAATCATAACAATTTGTCCGATATAATAAAATAAACTCATATAACTACTGACAAGATTATTACCTTTTTCAAAGGTTTTGGAATGGCATCCGCAACAAATTTACAGCATATCATTAGAAAGAAAGCAGCACTCTGTGAAATAAACAAATGATGGAGAATTTCAGAATCAATGAGCCATTTTTTTTTGAGAAACCATACCAAATTAAGTTCCATTTTAAACAGTAAAAACAGAGAAACAAAATAGCAATGCAACATGAATTTACAAAACAATGGACAACTGTAAAATTATTCGTTTTAGCAAAAAAAATTTACGGACGTTGCCATCGCCGATATAAAATATCTCGGTTATAATTCTCAGTTATACTGCTTGGTGCAGAGTTAAAGAATAGAAGATTTGAAAATTACACCTTATTAATGTGGAATTTCCAAACTTAGGTCTTAATAATATTAACTTTTATACTGCTTCTGTATGTCCATTATATAATCTCAAAGATAATATATAATAACAATTTTAATATATTGATTCAGTTACAGTCATTGTAAATTAAAACAGAAATGAACTTGAATTATAGGTAGGACTGTTTGTATTAAAATATATTTTACTACTTTAAATCAAAGGTACATGAAAGATTGCTGGTCTCTTTAACTTGGAAAATATTAAGACACTGTTATTGCGGCAAGTATAAAAATAGTTGCTCATAGGAAAGGCAAGTTCTTAAACCATAGCAAATTCGTATTAAATATAGTATTAAAATCGTATAAAGAAAGCAGTCATACTTGATAGCAAGCAATTAACGAGTATCGTTGTTTTGTAGTACATGTTTTGCTAGTCTACATAAAAATGTCTACTTATGTGCGCTCTCGTAAATATAAGGTTAATAGAGGATCTATTAACCTCTATGATCAAAATAGGTTTTTCTTTCTATATATCATATCTGTAATTGTGTAGGGGTAACAATGTGACTAACCAAAAATATAACTGGTATTTTGAGTAAAGTATTACCACAACATTAATCAATTTTTGGGGCCATTTGCAAATGTATTGTATATAAAAAAAAAATGTTTTTTTTATCAACTACTAAATACAATTCATTAATTGAAAACAGCCATGAGTCATAATATTGTCAAATGAGTTGTTAACTCACAATTTATGTAATCATTATTATCTTACAATGCGCGTTTGAAAATTGCATTCCTTAATAATATCATTAGCGTTTAATTTTCTTTACATACATATTTCAAAAAAAGTCACGGCCAGCAATTAATTTTGCAATTGAAGTATTTTATTATCCATATATTTTCTAATCTCTTACTAAAAATTTATGCCTTTTTAACATGTGGTAATACTGTGTACTTTTAATTTATATATTTATTAGAATAAACTTTGTCAAGTATTGTTCTAACTTTGAACTATAATTTCTTATGTTACCTTTAAGGGAAGTAAGGCTTGAAACATTATTATTATAATGAGTGCATGTTATGAATCCTCTAATATTAATATTGAACACATTTTAGGGCCATACAATATTTGCCCTCATACATTAACTGCTATTTGGAAATGAGATTGTACAATCAGTTGATTCTGAGTATAGAGAAATATACATCTTAGGCCAATACCCTTTAATGATGTAGTAAAATTTATCCATACATTTAGAGCAAGAACTGACATTGCATGATGAATTTCTATTTGATGTCTAGAAAAAATGTTGCAAATTTGTAAATTATGACCATAGGCATACCAGGTTCTATATAAATTAGAAAACTTTTTGAACAATTTAATACATACATAACTTTTTATACTGAATGTAAATAAATCTATATATCTTGCAATGTCTTGTCCCATCTTAAGTCTAATATGGGTGCACATAATTCATTATACCAAGGAACATGTACTATCGAAGTTATACTTTTCAATAATCATTTTAAAAATATTATTCATTTGTTTTCTGTTTGTATTGTCAAACTGTAACACTAATATAGTATGACGCTTTTTTTACATACACTAAACAATATATGTTTTCGACATCTGTAACACACTACATTTATATATTCCCTCTACTCACAAATTGTGACAGGTTGGCACCTATACACAAAAGCTCAGAGGAAACTTTGCTTCCCTAACCAAATTTGCCCATTGTATACAGTTACGACTTTAAAGCATCTAAGTAACGTTAATCATATGTTAGTCACAGTCGGCTATACTAAATGACGAATGGATGACCGTAACGTACAAACCTTTCTGAATCGTACAGCGAACCTATTGGTAATATACCAAAAATATATTTCCTTTAAATGTACACTGTTAAACAACTGTTTCGTTCGAGCACACGAGACGGGCACACTGGCAGAGTATCAGACATTTCGGCGACGGCGCCGCCGCCGCGTTCCGCTAGCCGACCTCGCTCTTCACGTAGAACAGCAAGTAGGGCGTGGCCGCTGACCGCATCTTGGGCTCGGCGGAGAGAAGATCTTCGAACTCCTCGTTGGATATCGGCTTGACCAGGTCGTCGTCGCACGCGAGCCAGCCAGCCTCCGCCCTAGGTCTCGGCACGCAGCAATCTCTGGCAGCGCAACCGGTGGGGGCAGGCCGAGGCCTGTTGAACAGCGTCCTCATGAAGCTGGAGCTGGTGTTGGTGGTGGTGGCGTCTCCGATGCCCTCTCGCTCGCACTTCGCGTCGCCGCACGAGCTGTCGCGTGCGTACGCCACATAATGGCCGCCGGTGAGTGTTTGCCCGAGGTGCATTATCACCGCCCAAAGGATGTATCTGGAAATTAAATGGTGTTGTTTTAAAAGTTACCTCATCTGTGCATGTTGACCCTACATGTATGATGTTATTTTTAATCAGATAGATTGGATAATGAAAAAGAATGGAAGGAATTAAGAAAGGTATTACACTATTTAATGCCCTTGTATAATAATAGGGTGGGTATATTCAACTGTGGTAGGGCCACACAACAGTCTGTTGCACAAATGGGCAGGTCTGAGCAGGTAAGTACCACGACTTCACAGAAGACCAGCGTAAAGCGGAAGTGTTATACTTCTTTTGCCTTCGTAATTTAAGTCTGGTGAGTGAGGTAGCTGGGGCTCACTTTATTAAAAGTTTGCACGCAATGCACCTGCAGTTGTACAGCACAGTAATAATATTTCAAAAATATGTGAAGTTCGCCAATCCGCAGTGGGGTCGCGTTGTGGACTACCCTAATACTCTCTGTCCTGAGGAGGCCTTTGCCCAGTAGTGGGACAAATATAGGTTGTTAAATTACTTTTTTTATAGAATTAAAAGCGAGCGCCCGGACATTGAGCTACGACGGTTCCGTAAAGCGTTTAAAAGTATCACCCTGCATATATTTGTGTAAGACGCTTATACATTACATTAGAGAGACATTGATTGGGACCTGTGAGTGGGCTGTTGATCGGGGGGCCGTTTGGCGCACGGCTCGCAGAAGCACGGCATCAGCAGCGGTGTGGGCGCGTGCCTCGTTATCTTCTCCATGCCGCCGCTGAAGCGCTTCAGCTGCAGCACTAGCAGTCGCGGCAGCCGGGAGTAGGCGACGCTGCGCCGCGCCTCATTATAACGCAGGCAGCGCTCGCACCAGTACTGAGTGTTTGGCAGGAAAATGACGAGAGTGAATTTTTACGATGCGCGACACCAATACTTACACACACTTACAACTTCGTGACATATACTTATAATTCAAGGATTTAGACTGAGAGTCATCAATTGCGTTTAATGTCTTTTTTATTTAAAACAAAGAGTACTGACACACGGGATATTGTTTTGATTATTTTTTTTGTTACGCTAAATAATTTTAACTTTTTACGTGCGAACATAAGTACACACATGCTTTTATCTGTTATCAAACCACGACCATGTATAACAATATTAATGATAAGCATTGAATTTTGGCTTTATAATGTAAAATCTATGGTGATCAATTTACGATAAACATTATCCAATTTAATAGGTTTTGACATATAAATAATAAGTTGACTGACGTATTTAGTACGTACGTAGTACTATTGTATTAGCGATCCGCTGCGGCGTCGCACGGAAAAAAGATATAATGTTCATACAATACGTTGAGTTTTTGTCGGTGTGGCAATCAGTCATTTAGCTTAGTTTCTTAGTCAGGGCGCGAATCTAGATTTAGGCGGTTCAGAATTTCACCTTGTTCTGATCACGCAGGTACTCGCTGGAAAGGCAAGCGGCTCGGAATGGCTCGTCGCTGGGCACCTCGTCATCGCCGACAGGAACGCACAGCTCGCAGACGGCTTGCGCTTTCTCCGTGACCGCTTCGCATTCCAGACACATGGTGCGGACCACCATTGTACCTGAAATTGATCATACATACAATGTAATAGAAAATTAAATGTGGTAGGGCCACAAACAGTATCCACTGTTGCATGCATGGGAAGGTCCGTCCGGGGGAAATACAACGACCACACAGACCGACGTGAAGTATGAATGATATACTTGTCGCTCGCGGACTTCTCGCATAGAAATAAATAAACAAAAGATATACTTGATAAGTGTTTTATTTTATTAGTCTAATGATAAATTTCTCTCATCCATACTAATATTATAAATGCGAAAGTAGCTTTGTCTGTCTGTCTCGCTTTCACGCCAAAACTACTGAACCGATTTAAATGAAATTTGGTACAGGGTCTGAGTAAGGACATTGGCTATTTTTTTATTGGAAAAAGGGTTCTTAAAGGGGAAAGATATTTATTAAAGATATTTATTTTACGAGGGCATCAACGCGAGCGAAGCCGCGGGCGAAAATATAAATGCAGACATGGCCTTATGTACATGCGGAAGCTAAAATGATTTGAGACACATTAGTTATCAAACAACATTCCCAAACTATCCAATTGCCACTTCCGCTGACCTTCGAAGTCGTCAGCCACGAAGTCCCAGCCGGGCCGCGACTTTTCGTCCCTCTCCGGATCTGCGGGGGAGGGGGCCCTCTCCTCGGTGGGCGAGTGCCGCTTCTCGCTAGCCTTCGCCTCCTTGCGTTTCTTCCACGACTTGCGCAGGTTGCCCAGCGTCGGTTTGCCAACGTCCACCTCCGAGCCCGGTTGACGCCCCAAGCCGTTGCTGATAGTACATTGTGAAATGTGAAAAACAATTTTATCGATACCCAGTACAGAAAAGTAAATCCCCATTCTCAAAATACAAGCTTTTTTGTTGTAATTATGTATTTAGTGATGTAGGTATTACATATTGAGTAAAAGTTTTTGCTCCTACCTATAAGTGCTTACAATCCGTTAAGGAAAAGGAGTATTAAATATACTTTATAACTGTAATTGCAATGTAGCCAAATATATAGTGGAGCTGAATGTTAGTGTGTGTGTCAGTTTATGAGTTCAATTCCCTTTTTCGGATAATATGGTTCATAAATATTTATTTTGGCTCTGAATGTACTTCATGATTTCATTTTTATGAAACCACCAGAGAAACATATGATTCATTTTTACTTATAAAAATGTGAATAATTTACAATTATATGTATAATTAATGGTGCTTGTAAGTAAAGGATGTGAAAAAATTGTCAAAACAGCTAATAAAAAACTGTATATGCCATTTATATTTGTGATAAATATGATAATTATTCATCAATATGCTTACATATAATGTAAATTAAGTCATCAATTATTAAAATTCGATGATTCGCATGTACAGTTGCCAAGGTGGCTTTGTGCTGGTATTTGTGGAATGAATTTCCATATGAGACAACTATTTGTGTTACCCAGAGATAATTCTTTCAGATCTGGTTGTTTGTCTATGTGAAATTTATGCATGTAAAACATTCCCTACAACACAGGATAAAGTTATACAAAAAATATTTCATTATTTCCTCTTACCTGTCTCCATTTTCATGTATCTGCAGCCTTGATGCTCTTGAGCTCAATGCCCGACAAGTCTCTCTGATATTATCCAATATACAAACTAACAGTTCATGAGCATCTTGCTGTCGATTACCTAAAGAAAACAAAATTGCAAGGTTAACATATTAAAGAATCATGATATGTTACAATTTCACACAACAAATGACTTTTTAGAAAAGTTTAGTAAAGATGTAATAATTATTTAATGATGAAATAAAATTTGGATTCAGTATATTCTTTGGGACAAAAAAAACCTTTAAATACCTCTCCTACTAAAACTATGTCCAGTATTTAATGAATTTAATACACTATAGAATTCCTTCGCGATTCTATATATAATGAACCAAAGAGAATTTTTAAAACTGTTTCATAAGGTTGGTTGAGTAAAATATATTAACCACCATAAAAATTATTAAGCAATCTCAAAATAGTCTTGTAATATATTTACAGGTTAATCCTATTTTTATTCAAGTCTAATGCTTACTATGGTATATTGTTAAGGTATTATTAGCTTTAGGTATTACAAGCACTTGGTTCAATTTTGTATGTAAGCATTTTGTATGGCTTCAGTCAATGCCAGTAATAGAATGCAATGTCAATGTTATGCAATTAACTTTGTAACAGCTGTTAATATATGGCTAATATATTTTGATGTTTATTTTTACGAATTATATCTTTTTATTACATTTACAATGTAATAAAAATATATTAAAAATACATCTGTTGTGTACATTTTTTCAGTGAATTTTCTGTGACTATTTTCTTTATAAAGTTCAATATATGTATAATGGACAAGTATAAAAAGTTATTCTTATCTTCACCTTTCTACTCATTATCTATATCATGTTTTTATTCATAATGGGCAATGCACAAAAAATATGATATTCTTAAATTGAGTGCCAGTGATTTTTTGTTGTATAAGCTCACTTTTTAATATATCAAAATATCAGGGCAGGTCTGTCCAGGTAAGTACTATAACCTAACAGAAGATGGGCGTGAAGTGGAAGTGTTATACAGTCTAGTGAGTGAGGTAGTTGGGGCCCACTTTGTTAAATGGTGGCAATGCAAACCTGTAAACCTACGTGGGTGTTACAAATGTCCATGGGCAACAGTTATCACTTACATCAGATGAACCGCCAGCTCATTTGCCATCTTCTCAATTAAAAGTAGCAATCGGCCCCTTCTTCGCGGGTGCAATGAATAACTCTATATAGTAAAATAAACCGCAACAAGATGCGTTGCGTAGTTTTAAAAATCTAAGCATACATATTGACAGACAGACAGCGGGATGATTGTTTTATACTACGTAGTGAAAACATACACACTAGTTAAATTAAATGTTAAAATATCAATTGAAATGTACCTTCAAAGGTAGAGTTAACATCTCTTAATGCGGCGAGAAAGGCATCAGCTGCAAAAGGCTCAGGGCTAGCGTCTCCTGAACCACTATTGAGGCATTTACTTTCTGCTGCACGGAGGTTGAGGTATGTCTCATGTAGCTTCTCTGTAGCAACCTGAAATAAATATAATTCTTTAATTTATCACAACTTGAATATTCGGTCAGTGTAGTTGGTAAGCATAAGTTTCACTCCCACATGGTACGCATATTTGTTATAAACAACAGATAATTATTTGGGGATATGAATGTTCATACTTGTTTAATTTGTTTTAGTTACTACAGAATAATAGTGATGAAAATTAAAAAATTACGATAAATTATATACCACATGTGTTAAAATTATATTTACAACTTCATCTTGGTAGCCCTGTATATGTATAACTCAATGGTGAATGATATGTGATAATGTCCAAAGTATAATATTTAATGTAGTCATTACTTGTATAAATGGCTGTTCTATGGTTTTAATGATATTCGTTGTTCACAGAAATCATGGATATTAATCAATGTTTACTTGCTTTCCTTTCAATAGTTATTGTATTGCACTTTATAATTTGACATAATAATGTGACATAATATTGTATTCATATTTCACATTTTGGCTAGTATAAAAATGTTCATTTCATCTCAAATGCCTATTATCTCAAGAAATGTGGTACACTAATATTTGTCAATGATAAAGATAAAAAGAAGTGTTATAAATATTCATCTTATCACAGGTGATTGATAGGACTTTAAAAAAAAATTATCAACTTAGTAACAGTTGTAAATATGTTCGTTTTTCACAGCCATAAACTCCATTAAACAAGTATTTCTTATGGATTGGACTGGCTTGATATCTATTTCTTTTCCTAAAATATCTCTAGACATAATATATTAGATATACACCGAAAGTTCAACCTAATAATAAATTAATTAACATTTATTTAAATAACATTTGAATAGAATTATTTGGAGATTAAGATATGCCATGACTTTATTTTGAGAATAGTATAAAGTATTTGTAAACAAATTGCTTATACACGATTGCTTCGCCAGAATCGGTCAGCTGGGGACCTTCTAGTGTACGCCACTCACCATTGGGGTGAGGCCCTAGAAAACAATGGTGAAGCACTCGTGGCTTCTTACTCTATACAAGGCTCAAGTCCAATCGTGCGTGGAGTACTGTTGCCATATCTGGGCTGGGGCTGCAAAATGCCATCTGGCTGCCTTGGACTCAATGGAGAGACGTGCGGAAAGGCTCATTGGTGACCATAACTTGGTTAAAACCAATCTCACTAGCCTTGAGCACAGGCGCAGAGTAGCCAGCCTCTCGGAATTCTACAGGATACATTTTGGAGAGTGTGCGTTGGAGTTGCATGATCTTATTCCTCCCGCCCCTTTCCATCATCGGACAACCAGGCGTACGGCGGGAATCAACCCTTATGCTGTCGACGTTCCACGTACACGAACAAAGCGATTCGCTTCTTCATTTATCATCCATACAGTCAAGGAATGTAATAACCTGCCGGCGTCCGTCTTTCCGTCCGATTACAATGTAGGCGTCTTCAAGGCAAGAGTGAATAGGTTTTTACTGAGCTAGCGCGCTTAACATCAATGGCTGCATCATCACTTACCATCAGGTGGGATGGCAGTCAAGTGCAGGCCAGTTTTGAATAAAAAAAAAAATATAATTTCTAAGCCTATATTAACTTTTCATAAAATTCAATAAACATATTATTGCAGAATTTACTATAATAAACACAATTCATGATTTATTTCAAAGCAGTTTTAGAATTATTTTTCGGAACATTCAGCCGAATATGCATATTTGGTTGAACCCATCTTCCATGTATTTTTATTATGTATATGTATAAACTAATAAGAATTACTCCATTAATTTCATCAGTAATGGATTTAGTATTTATGTATATATAATTTTTTTGTATATATTTTTCCTTAAGCTAAGATTTTTGAGGTGGAGTTTCAATTTAAATATGAAGACACTTACCTGAATCTTACTTTTCCCAGAGCTGTTGTCCGACTGTCCCAAGGACAGTAAATCCTTACTGCTCCATGACCTAGCTCCTGATGAAGCAAGACCTGCTGCACTTCTCCCTAAGGAGGAGCTTTTCAACCTTATGCTCCCTAATTTTTGCTCTACACTGGCCAAGTCTGACACAAGGTGGTGTAAGTTGTGAAGAAACCGAGGTGCATACCTGGCAGAAAGTCATTTTATGAATGGTAAATGCAATGGTAATGTGTTAGCAGTATTAAGAATATTCTATTTGAAAATCAACTGAAAATCAGTCCATAGTATTACATAGTAACCATTTATTGAATGTCACACTACAGCTATTATAATTTTTATGAATTGTTTTAGCTGTAGGGTGATATAAAATGAAATTCTTACCTTAATGTGTAGAGAACACTATTTAAAAAGCATGTGTTGCCCAAATTAGATAGAGTTGCAATAGGGGCCTTCCACTGTGTACCTCCCCCATATTGATTATCTGTGGGGTGATGGCCATTCAACATGGCAGAGCTGGCAAAGGGCTGTTCCAATATTATCAGCTCAGAGTCTACAATGTTTGAACAATATATATGAATATTATCAACTATTACCGCCAATCAATATATTCATACATGTAATCATAGATAAGTTTGAAAGTAATGGAAAAATTAAGTCTTTTCAGTTATATGGTTAGTACCTTGTGTCATTAATTCAAGTAAGCAGAAAAAATTGCATTGCATGTTCCATTACAAATACTTGTGTTTTACTAATAATCATTGAGAGTATTTTCATTCATGGAGTATGACAGGATGGGATTTACGAGAATTTAAGTGCATTTTAAATATGAATACAGCCATGTCACATTATAGAAAGAAAGTTAACCATTAAATTTTATAATTTAATTAATACAATTATAGTTATCATACAACTAACATAATTAATACAAATCTCATCTCATCATTTAAGATTGTGAGATATTAAGGAGAAGTACAGTAATATATGAATGTATCTTTATTTTTTCTGTACTGTACTGTGAGAATTTACATAATCATAAAACATATTATGCATGATTAATGCACATATAATTGTGTCCATATATTATTTTGAGAGAAATATTCGATTTCCTCACACAAGTCTTCTTGAAATATAAACCAATAGTGACACAAAGCTAGATAGAGTTAGATTATTAATACTAACTTAGCAAATATCTAATTCAACAAAATAAAAATCGTAAAAATTTCAATTGAAGCAAAAAGTTAGTCTACGAACCGGCAAGTTTCGGCGTTTCTGTCAATGGTTTGAGTTTCTTTGCTGCATTCAAAGTATTAAAATATGTACTGTTTGGTGGTCTTTTCACTGGTTTATTCTCCTTATTGTCGTCAGACACTTTATAAGAGCTAGATATATCTTTGAAAATAATTGGTCGTTTATTTTCACTGTTCAAATGTGATGCATTATTCCTGTTTAAGGACAGTGGGAATTTAGATTTTTCAACACCTTTTTTTGTTTCTGATACGGAATTAACTGGCATCTTCAGAATACCTGGAAAGAGTATTATTATTAGTGAAAGAATAAAAAATATTGGCTACTTTTTTACTTCCTAAGATCGGTCAAGGATGTCGGTGAATATACACTGTTGATTTATAATACTTACGTGGAAGATATTAATATGCACATTGACTTACATCCTACAGTGTAAGGCAATGTAATCCAAGTTACAAAAATTATATTATTAAGCAAGTTATTGGAAAAAACAACCGCGAATAGCCCCATTCGTAACAGACGGCCATATTCGTCATAAATTGTGTAATGGTCGCCTTAATGTGTGTGAGTGACAATCCATAGACTAATGATTGCTCTACAGGTAAAATACCAATGGGAAATATAAGAAAATAAATACAATTAATTTATTATAAATTAACAAAGAAATATTGGTTTTAAAGAGATTTAAAATAATTAATTAAACATCACAAGTTATGGTACCTAAGCTGAAGCATTGCTTTTGTGATTAAAATGTTATACAGTCTTCAGAGATGGCAGTTATACAAATAAGAAAGTTTTCTTTATGTGTCTCACGGTCTCAAACTTATTTTTTGGGAAACTCATATTAAGCAGGTCTTTTTTTCTCATTAGCAACATTGCTTCGTCACTAGCTCGACATTTTAAAACAGAAAGATGAAAGTTTTTCCTCGTCTGTTTTTTTAAAAAAACAAATATAATATACTACTAGCTGCTACCCGCGACTACGTCTGCGTAGAATAGGCTGAAGGTGTAATATTAAGACAGAAAGACAGATATACATAAAATATGTATATAAATAATAGCCTATGTCTTATTCTGTTGCATAAGCTATATTATTGTAAAGTTTCATTAAGATCTATTCAGTAGTTTTTGCGTGAAAGAGTAAAAAACATCCATCCATACATACAAACTTTCGCCTTTATGATATTAGTAAGGATAATAATACAATAACTTTATATGTATATAATTTAATAATGCATATTTATACTTTAAAAAGTGTAGATGCATAGAGGGAGCAGAAGAGCCGGTTTCTTTGGTCTACCTACCTCGAAACTGCAAACGGTTGGATGTCGAAAAGCCTTTTTTTTGTTAACGTGGGGGGACTATCATTACCTACGCATATTTGCTCTCGGGAGAACGGGGCATCACGATACCAATCCCCCCGCGGCCTACAGGCCGGTCCAGTGTGTTTTCCTCTAAGTCACTCCGCAACGTCAAGGCGGGAACCCGGTCGGAGGGGTTCTTAGGACCCCTATCTCTAGGTAGTGGACTCGGAGAAGTCCGTTGCCCATGCAAAAGAGGTCGTGAAGCAACGCGCTTCACGTTGCGGCGCGTCTAACCTCGGTATTTGAAGAATAAGGAAATTTCTCTCCGGAGAAAAAGTTTTCCGAGAGGTTTTTGTTGAGGTTTTTTGGAGACGGCTAATGCAGTAGGATTTGTAGGGGTTTTAGTCGGTGGCGGTCCATAACTTATATTTGCTCCCGCGAGAGAAGGCATGTGTAGTCATTTCCTCCACGTAAATGTAAAAAAATATTGCTTTATTGAAGAGTATTGGAGACTTTATGACTTTTCACTCAATCAAGGATAAGTTCATTAAATAGATTATTTCAGTAAAAAATCAGATGAAGAATTTCTGTGGGGCGTTGAGTAGGTAATAAATTTTTCCTAAAGTGGCCTAAAGTACACAAAAAACATTTGAGAAACACTGTTTTGTACTAATCAGTTTTTTACATTCCTTATTATAAAGCCCTTCCACTGTATTAAGAATATTGAAATTCGAAAGGTGGAAAAGACTTAAAGAAATTGAATAGCTATGTCTAACATTGCGTACTTATTGCATGTTATCAGAGTATATATAGTAACGATATTCGTAAGTTAGTAGAATAAAACCTCGATGCAACGCTGGGAAATAATATGCAAGTTAAAATATAACTTAGGAATGAATTATTCGCATTTATTCCAGAAATCATAACAACTAAGCCTGTGAAATGCGTAATATAATTTTATTTTATGTATTATTGAAGTCACCGGCAATTCTGAATATTATCGTCTTCCAAGAAATAAACCACATATCCCACCTTATTGCAAATTCAATTCAGACAACAGTATTACAACACTTTGATATAATTAATTGAGTGCTAATCTGCTGACTAATAATCTGTCATTTAGAGAAATGCCTTTTATCAACCAACTTAAAAAAAAAAAAGGTTTCCACTTCGGTTGTATACCTATCATGGTCACGGGACAGGCTTTCTCGTGATCATGAACGCTGGAAAGGGTTCGAAACGTCGGGGATTAAAACGAGATAAAATCCGTTAAATATTTCACTTATATTTATTCGTAATATTCGCGTAAAAACAAGAAACCAATACACTCGAGTAACTAGTGTTCAAATTCCAGTGCCGGCACCAGTACCAATGAAATTGTAATTGTAATTTTTAATGCTAACTCATCACATGCTCATGTGTGAAGGGAAACATCGTGAAGACACCTACATATTTACGAAATAATAGTAAAAAAATTTGTCATGATATGTAAAGTTTATAACTATGCATAATACCTTATCAAGAAAACTTATGAGTTTGGGAGTGCCTTCAGGTGCAGAGGTAATGCCCCCTGCACATAAGAGGCCTTTACTTATCAGTGTAGAAACATATAGGCTATTTTTGCTTCTTTTTATTTTACTTTTTAATACTTAATTTAAAAACAAAGGGGTATCGAAAATTATGGAAATAGAGTGGAATAAGGCCTGATAGTTTGCCACCTCTACAAAATGACTCATGAAATTTACACGGAGTCAAAGCTTTATATCTCTGGAAAGTCCCACTGACGTAGTTTTAACAGAACAATTTATTTAGTCCACAAGAGCCCAGATCGTAAAATACGCCTCTATAAATCGAAGAACGAATGAAATTGCGCTTTAAAATTAAGCGCTACTAAACAACAGAAAGAGTCGGTAAGTGTTCTCGAAATTTCTATATGATAAATTTTCACAATGTTAGTCAGTGTCAAGCCAGAAAAGCGACTTAATCGGTAGGATTTCATTAAAATATTTAAAATTAAAGGTTTCCTAAAAATGTTATGTTTGATATTATAATAAAATTTCTATCATGGATTTGACATAGATTTTTGTGCTATAATTATTATGAACACCGTCCCTAGTTACTTTAAAAATGATTTAATTCTGAAATATTAAGAAATGCTGTCAAAAGGTTCCATTAAAATAATTTTATATAGATAGTAATTAAATCCGTTCAAACAAACATTTAAAATATTTTATATAATTAGTATAGATATTGCCAAATAGTTGATATCAGACATATCATGATTGTTATTATACAAAAAAAAAAAAACCGGAATAGTGCGATGAACGATGGAAGGTATGGAAGATATTTGAATAAAAAAAAACTATTATTGCGGGCCTTTATCAAGACGGTTGAACCCAAAACAATGCTTGTTAAAATTTTTGTCTGTTTGTCTGTGCCTTTGTATGCGGTAGTCTCGGAAATGGCTTCACCGATTTGGGTGCAACGTTCACTAATGCATTGTATTAAGCTTCACTTAACATTTAGTGTTAGTTGTATTTAAATCGGTTCTTATATAAAAAAGTTATATCAACTTAAGGAACTAAATTGAAGATTTTTGCGATAAAATGCTATATAATAACTACAGTCGAATTGGATGAAACAATAGTTTAGTAGTAACTATATTATCGTCTGTAAAATGATGACGATTGTAAGTTAAAAAAACCGAGTGCGAGTCGGACTCGCGCACGAAGGATTCCGAACTATTCTATAAAAACGATACACCAGCACTAGGTAGATTAAAATGGTAAGAAAAAAAAATTTATACATTTTTTTTGTACTGTTAGAATGACCTTGAACCCAACTTCCTTAGGTTCGATTCGCCCCTGGATCTGCTAAACAGGAAATGAGCCAGGAACAAAGGAAAACGGCGGGCCGATATCCCGCAACCCCGCACTAGAAATTATTTTTAGTAGTGATGGGACGGATAAAAATAACAGGATATCTATACTAATATTATAAAACTGAAGAGTTTATTAAATGAAACTACTTTACCGATTTTATCACGTTTTTTATTTTGATTTAAACTCCCGACGTTTCGAACCCTTTCCAGCGTTCATGGTCACGGGACAGACAGACCGAAGGGTTTGAAACGTCGGGAGTTGGAATGTATAATATTCGCGTAAAATCAAGAAAACAATACTGAAGAGTTTGTTTGTTTGAACTAGCTAACATCACCAACTACTGATCTGATTTGAAAAATTCTACTACCTCCACACATCACATGCAAGATGTCTATTCTAAAAAACTAGTTTTTTAGAATAGATATCTTGTATGTGGTCGCATATCAATTTCATTGGTATAGGACCTTGAATTCCGGTGATATATCCGGGAACCCCTCAAAATCAAATAGAAAATTTATAGTGCAAATTTGTGGTATTTGAAGTCGGCTTTGCTTTTTTGTTAACAAAAACGTGTTATTAAATGTTAAATGAAGCTATGGGCTTAAGTTAGGTTGTTTTAGTTTAAAAATTAAGCGATTTTATTTTAAATATAAGATTTTAGAAAAATACGAAGCAGTTAATTTAAGTACGAAGATAAGTTCAGACAGTGTTGGTGAAGTGTCGTAAAAATGCAAATCAACTGTGTACATCATGTCAACGTTCCTATGCAAATACGAAGTTGAACTTTTGAGAGTGCTCGTCGTGATAAGGAATGGATAAAAGTTCGTGGGCTTTGCATTAAGTATACAGATTAGTTATGAATTTTCTACAATTAGGGGTTGCTATATAAATATTTAGTGTATACTTAATTTCATATTCTGTTATCAATCAGGGCTATTTAAATTGATGGGGGAAAATTAGGAATTGTATTGCTAATCATGGATTAAGAAGAGAATAAAACATGGATTTGTTAAAGTAATTGGTAAACGCTTTAGGGTGGATTAGGCACAGCAGCTGTTCGGTTCGCATTTGTGGTGTGCGAG